TTGTTTGTTTGTTGTTGTTGTTGATAAACTGGGCCAAACAACAACAACAACAACAACAACATGATCTACATTGATAAAATTCATTGCATCAAAAATATATATAATCATTGCCAATATGCAAGCTCACACTTATGGTTATTTTTTTTGTTACGGCATTTTTCTGTTTTCTGTCAAAAAGAATCTTGATCATGGTCATTCATTCATTGAAGTGATGAAATTTCAAATTTTTTTAAAAGAAAAATTCAATGATTTTTTTTAACCTTGTGGAATTTTGAATTTTGAAAAATTCTTTTCTTTGGTTTAAGATATGATGTGCTATTGAGCATAGCAACAAGAAGAAATTCCGATAAAAACAAAATGAAATTAAAAAAAAAAACATTTGAAAAAAAAATGTACCAGGTATAAATTTTTCCTTATCATTTGTTTTTCTGACACAAAAATAGGAATCCAAAATCTAGGATTATTATTATTATTTTGTTACCAAACAATTCTCGATTATCCGGGGTGTTTTTCTCTGTTGTTGTTGTTGATAACAACAACAAAACACAGCAAAACAAGGTAATTGAGAAAATTGTTTTTCGTTTCATTTTCATTCATCCAACCTATCCGAGGATCAATTTTTATTTCCAAAGGAAAAAAAAAAGGAAATTATTTTGAAGGGAAACAAAAAATAAGGGCAATCCTGTATGTATCGAACGACAACAATGAATGATTGACTGACTAACTGACTAACTAAGCAGAAGAAGAATTAAGCTCCATTTAAGCTAAAATAATCGTGATGAATTTAGTTTTAGTTTAATGTTTCAATTGGATATTTATCATCATCATCGATTGATTATATAAATAAGTTTGGAAAGAAAGAAAGAAAGAAAAAAATCGAGAGTATTTTGCAAAATGAATGAGAGAGATAGGTCAAATCTAGGTATGTTTTCAAGCACAGAAGCCATTCAAAAATATTCAATTCAAAAAATTGATTAATTAATTAATTAACATAATCAATATCGATCGATCGATCGATCGATTGATCATCATCATCATTGGTGGTTTGATGGTCACGATGAAAAACTTTCCAAGATTTTTATATAATCAATCAGGTTAACTTAGTTTGATTTTTCCATTTGAAAAAATCACGACAAAATTTAAATTCAAAAAATCTAAAGGGAAATTTGAACAAGGACAATTGAAAAAGTATTTTTTTTTTTATTATTTGGACATCATTATTATCATTAATTTGGACATTATTTATCCTTGAAATTTATTGCACAAATATGGTTTTTTTTTGTTCGTGATTCGTGATCATCAATGATTTCAATGATGATCATTGTTCAGTCGATCAAATGGAAAACATTACTTAACAAACAAAATAAAAAAATGTTCCAATTCCAGTAATCTAAAGAAACTGAATATATTTGGTAGCCAAAACGTCAAAGGAGAGAGAAGAGAAAACCTGAACATTATTGGTGAATCAAATCGATTTGATTGATTGATTGATCTAGTTTTTTTATTTATTTTTTTTTTATAATTACACAAGACGAAGAAGAACCTAATGTTATTTCAATACAAACAAACAAACAGAAAATGAATGAAAAAAAAATTGATGTTTTTCACAAGTGTTTTGGATAGGCTAAAAATATAACTCTCATCATCATCATCATCATCATACAAGAGTCATTTTGTTGGTCATTTCATCCAAAAAATCTAAACAATCATTTAGTTCATCATCATCCGAATCCATTCATTCATTCATTCATTCAAATGAAAGGAAAAAAAACATGGTAAATTGGATTTTGATTATGATTATCAAAAAAAAATTGAATGAAAATCCATCTTCATTCACACACACCACACACACAAACTCATTTTATTTCATTTCAATTCAATTTCAATTGAAAAACTTTTTTTTTTTTTTGCTTAAAAAAAGCAAAAGTCCAAAATGATGACCGTTACCCATTACTAATCATTGATTGACGTGTGTTTGTGTGTGTGTTTTTTATATGAAAAACTTTTATAGAAATGAAATGAAAAAAATCACTCAATCTAAATCACTGATTTTTGGTCTAAATTTAATTTTTTTTCTTCGTTTTGTTTGCGTTTGGATATTTTTTTCATTTTTCAATTTAATGAGCTACCTGTTGTTGGATTTGTTGATCATTTGGATTTTATTTTCAGATGAAAAGAAAACAACAACAACAACAACAACATCGATCACCTTGTATTTTTTAAAAAAATATAGGGTGTCAATTAAAAAATTGCCCCAAATGTAATTGTATCACTAACATTCGTAACCACATAAAATATTTCGATACTATCGATATTTGATAACAACAAT